AACATTACAATAGGATGGTTAAAGATTTGTGATTGCTCTAAAACTGTTATTTTACCTTTTTGTACTTACGGATTATATTCTTGTAGGTATAGTTCATCAGTTTAATTCACATGAATTTGATTTAGTCCGTTGTTAAGAGCTCAATATATATTATTATAGAGAAAGCTCTTAGTTTACTTGTTTTACAAATAATAATGCTATTTGTCATACATGTAAGATAAGATAAGATAAGATAAGATAGTTTATTAAAGTCTCATCATCATGTATAATATTAAAACAATACAAATATAAAACCTACGACATTGTACATATATGCCTCTCATAGATGAGTTATAAGAGACTATGCATAACTTTACATACATATCTACAAAATTACTTAAAAATAAAACCAAGTAATTTACCTGTATGAAAATAGTTATGACTATATGACTTTTTTAAAGGAACTCCACTGAGGTCAAAAAAGCATTAAAACATATAAATTAAAATTTTACATAACTCAAGTGAAGCACTTAAAATGGGAAATTCTGCATTCTAAAGGATTATAAGGAAATATGCTCAGAACTAAAATGAAAATCGATTTCTGAGCGTTTCTTATCCCGACTTGTGTGCAAAGCGTTGCAACGCTTTTCATTTTTGGGTAACATTTTGCATAATAAAATGATGATTCTGGAAAAACGTGGATAGTAAAGGTTCTGAAAATTTGTAGAAAAATTATTGGTCTCCAGTCTCCACATACATCAAATGGTACACACACATATTGGAAAATTTCTCCAGACCCTTCAATTCAAAATCCTCAATTGAGTCCCTTTAATTGTCGTTTCTTTCTTTTAGCTTTTAGTTGATACTTTGTAGTTGTGCTTAAATGAACAAAGTGTAAGAAAAAGAAAAGGATTGTCACGCTTTCTTCTTACCTTTTTTCCATGATAACATTGTTTTAACATTAAAGAAAACTTTTCTGCTTATACATTTCATAATAAATCACATAACCGTATACAAAATTAATGTACACGAAATAAAATTATTTAAATAATGTATTTATTTTGTCCTTGTTTTAAATGTGTCCTTCAGATTTATAAAGTTTGAATGGTCGTTTCGTTATAAGCGCCCATTCGCACAACTGTGCGCAGAATAACTATCTGTAAAATTTTTAAAATGCCGACAAAAACTGACCTAATTTATGTCCCCAATGACATCACAAAACGTTGGACGACAAATTGTCGACAGATATAACTGTATAATAATAATAATAATAATAATAATAATAATAATAAAAAAAAAATAATAATAATAATTACTATTATAACATTAATAATTTTTAAAGAAGATAACAACATTTTACTAAGACAAACTTACCGTCGGAGACCGACGGTTTATTGACATGCAACATAACATTATTTCTAATAGGGAGACCATTCCATATCCAAATTCATACGGCAGTATAAACACGGTTGTCTTTCTTGCACCCATATAAGAAAGTCAAATTATTTTGTTGTGGTTCATATGGAACATTCGAAGTAACCATTTCAAAATACAATCGAAATCGCTGATAAACGGTTAATAACCGTAGTCCTATATGAGTGAAACTATCTTTACATAAAATGAACAAATGATTATTATTGCATATGTAGAAATTTGTGCATATTCTAACGCCTTTTTTCAGAAATATATGATACATGGACAAATTCAAGTACGGATTTCTTATATTTTCTTACATACAAATAAAGTAGCAATGCCATTGGTGTGTACGCGATCGTGCTTTTCAACAAAGTCCTTAAGCTTACCATCCTTTTTCAAGGCATTTATTTTCTGCTCAACATCTTTTATTTCTTTTTCGTTTGCCATTGCCCAATAAGAATCACTGTCCCGCCAGGTTTTGTTCAGTGGACCTTCTGCGTTATCATAGTCTACCAAAACGGAGCCTAGCAATTTCATTTTCTGAATACAAGTAACACCTGTCCGTTTGAAGATGTCAAGAAATTGATGAATTGAAGCAAACTTCTTGACATATTTGCGCGAAATTTCCATGTTGAGATGATTGTACCAACTGTTCATGATATCATCCGGGGTAGATGCCATAATGAACATGGTTCCATTCTGACACAATACCCTGCCAGCTTCAGCAATAGCGTGCCCGAGTTGTTCGAAGCGCTGGCTTTCATTTATATCGTCGTTTGTATCAAGATGATGTAAGACCTGATGAAGATACGTTACAAAATATGGAAGGGGAATATCAGCCACTTTTTTGTGTTGTTTGATATTTTAACATCCTAATTCTTATTTTATTACAATAGTTTGTTGGCAAACATGCTTATTACTAAGATACTGTTCTCATATGAATAAAGCATATTATGAGAACATTTTTATTTGAACAGTACCTTTGACTTTTATGTGAATTTGTTTATCATGATCTATGTCTCATTTTATGAATTGTGAATGTGAAATTTATTTCTCATAATGAAATTGACAATAGGAAGTAGTATTCTATTAGACTTGAATGATAAAAAAACAGTCCCAAATTAAAAATGCATATATCATATACCCGAGTTTGTTACCATTCTGGAGTGCAAACCATTTTGAAGGTAGATTTATATTCTCGAGATTGACAGACATTAACAGTATACAAGTGTATATACACAAGATTGATATATATGTACTAAAACGTTTATCAGATATTATTTTCGGGTATATATGCATGCACATTCTCAGTTTATAAAATTTTTACTTTTACATTGTATCAATCTTTGTACATGTATTGGTTAAAATAACTATTTCCACTGAACATCCCTTAATTTCGAGTAAGCGAATGTAAGAACAAAATGTTGCACTGATGAATAATTTTGTCAGATTGGTGTTTATGAATATGCATACTTTCATTAAAAAAGTCTACTCTCTAACCTTTATTGTCGGGTTGACATGTACAAACACACTTTATTTTTTAATGTTCGGCATATAAAAGTAAGCACATAGGTTTGTATTTTTTATTCATATCTATTCTGGGTGAGCAATGGTGTTTTTTTTAACAATCTGCACTCTTTCTCTGCATCTTATATACGGAATGTTTCAGTAACTGCAAAAGCTGTTTGACAGTAACATTGAGTAATGTATAGAAAAATCAGTATACGAGTACATGTATGAATATGGACGTCATCAGTCTGCACTGATGACACATCTTTGTAGAAAGGTGTATAATACTGGCCGCCGAATTTAACAGTATGCGCCAGAATATCTGCACACTTGCTGGTCAGGTGTTTGTACATTCATCAGCGGCAACTTAAATGACTACCTTTTTGGGTCGCTGCGCTTGCGCAAAGCGGCCCAAAGTTATAAGCTACATCTGAGGCTTATTGCAAACCTAATTTCGGCTGAAATATATACATGCACGTAGTAAATAGTTCCGTATTGTCGGTAACAAGTTAGAAAATCCGTACCTTCATTCATTACAGGAGGGTTATCATACATTTTGAAATGTATCATGATATCGAAAATTACAGTAAATTTGTGCTGTGTACAGAAAAAATATCAATGCGCGATTGAATCACGTGACAGGTCATTGAGGTCAGCCATGTTGATTCGACTTTCGTCATTCGTTAATCGATACAGACAACTAGGATATTTTGAAGAAATTGTAAGTTCTTTAGTAATTTTTCAGTTTCCTTGATTAAATAGAAAAGAATTTATGAAACTGAGCCAACCGTGTGATCAATTTTTGAAGATTTGTTTATAAAATTTGTCGGTAACAGGGTAACGATTCGTCACCGTGACGATTCGTCCCAATTTAGTGACGATTCGCCATACCTAAAATTAACATTTTTAAAAATTTTCATGTTCGATTCACAGTGCCTAAAATTAACATTTTTAAAATTCATTTGGACTGAAAAATATTTATGTTTTAGGTTTTTTTGCATTTGTTTGGTATATCCTTTATATTTAATAGATAACAGGTAAAGGTTTTTAACAGAACTAACTGTATAGTTATAAATTATTAAATTAATCTGGATTCTTATTTGTATATTATAAATTATAATATTTAATAATAATAAATAAACTAGATAATAGATTGATGTTATCGATACAATTGTAAGTATGATAATATTGTTTTTATTTACTCATTCATAGATATTCGTTTCTACAAGCAGATTGTCATACATTGTATTTTCTAATCTGATAAAATAAAAGAAATTTAGACAATGCAAACAGAAAAAGTGAAAGGTGTAATATAATCTGGATTTAAGGGGTGCAGGGGAGTACTATGGAGTTGTAGGGGCAGGTAATCTGTGTTGAAGTGGTTATGGTTGTTGATTCTAAACTGCTGTTGGTTCAAAAAATAAATTCAGTTCGAATGGTTTGACCTATTTTACAAACTTTAATTTTTCATACTGTCACCCATCCAATATTATCTCAGCGTCTCTCTGACAAATTAAATTAGTTAGACTAATAATTTTATGAATACTATTCACCATGGTATTTGTAGCATGACATTATATATAGGCTAATGGCAGATTGGTGTACCAAAAATTATTGTTTGTTTACAAGGAAAAATAGAATCCCTTAAGAACACCCAAAATGACACAATTGAAAATGTTGCAGGCTCGGTTTGTTTGAGGATAAACAGTAGTAAACAGTACTGGAAAATGCAAGTTACTGTCCTCGCCCCCTAGCACATACTGGCTTAAAGGCCCATAATATGCCCCAGAAATGATTTTAATTTATTTTTCAAAAGCCTGTTATTTTTGGTGGCCTGTTATAACTTCTAAAAATATACTCAATGGGCAAATATCTGAACCAACTTTTGACTCAGCTGTTGCTTTTTTGCAATCAGTATAGTTAAAGTGATTTACTATTTTGTATGGAAGTCAAAAAACTACTTTGTTTACATGCAAACAGTAAGGCCTTACATGTTGTAATTCTGTCCTAGAGGAGGTGTCTGATTATTCTTTAAGTTTAAGGCTTCGGTTCTCACACCGACACTAACTGAGTTCAAATACTTTGCCAAATTCAGTTTTTATAGTCTAATTATTGAAATAATCTAAACCAAAGTTTTTGAAAAACAAAGAAGAAATACACAGAATCTTGATGAACAGTATCCTGTTTGTTCAGTTCCCCCATTCTTTTTTCATTAAGGGAACATACATTGTATTCTTTGGGAATCATACGCCACTTTTCATGTAATGGCACTAACATGTCACATTCGAGGTTCCATGATTACTGCCATAAAAATACACCTGCTAATGTTTCTAATTTCAAAATTTTACCATTACATGTTAAAATTAAATGTTGAATACTGCTTAACCTGGTGCTATTGGGTGTGAACAGCAGCATGCACTTTCAGTACTATCCATGAACTGGCTCAATCAAACTGAGTCTGCAGCATTTTCAATATTGCTATTTGGACTTTCTTTTTAGAATAACTGTTTCTCTTTATGTACATAATTACCTAGTATAAAGCTTTAAAAATTAAATGAGCGAATAAAGAGGCCACTAAGGACAAACACATATGCAAACAGCTGGATTTTATTTATTTTACTCAAGCATTGTCACTCAGTCATATTTGCCTGTATTTAAAGAAAGATTCTACAACTAGAGTTTTTAGAAGGTAATTCCTGATCCAGAAGTGTTCTCCCACCAACAAGTGCGTGGTTCCCCATTCTGCTCTATGCTAGTGCATACAGAAACGGACGATAGTACTTAGACTGTGTATCATATAAAACTTTATTTACATGATGATAAGGGGATTTTCTAATAATATGAAAAATTGTTGATATAAGAAAAATATATAATTAAATTGATAACATGGGATTTGACTGATTAATTTCACAAATAATCATGTATTTTATAAATATGAATGATCTTGTCTGAATGGTTATGGTCAACATTTTACTTGCTTTTGATTTGTTCCAATAGTTTGATGCATTGACCTGTTTTGAATTGGTATATATACATGTACATGATGTAGCTGATTTGACTATTAAGCCAAATGATTTAGATAACTATAAGTTGGGAATGCTTTATTGTTGATATGAAAATCATATTAATGTTAAATAAGAAATGCATTTATTTCAGGTGTGTGATATACATGTAACAAACTGTTGTGCGAGGTTTTTAATGTGACATGGTCAAGACATACTATGATAGTATTGTTCAGTGTAAGTTCTCTTTAAATGTTTATAATAAAATCCCACATTTATTTTATTGAGCTTTGGAAAATTTTGAAACACATATTTGACTTAGTAGTCAAAATTAAAAACAACATTACCCTCATGGAAGTATTTCCTGTACAAAAGCAGTATACCAGCTTTTTTTGCAATAAATGCTGTTGTTTTTTCCTTGTGTCCAGAATGATATGCACATACTGTTAAGAAACATTTAGAAATACATTGAAAATTGTATATTTGTGCTATTCTTATTCTATTCCTCCCGATACATGTATGAATCAAAAGCTCGGCAACACTGTTCATTTTTTGGACGTTTTACACTGTTCAAGTAATCATTCTGGGAAAACAGAGCGAGTGCATGATCTGAAATTTTTGAATATAGGTTTTTTTTGGTGAGATCTACATCAAATAGAATATCATATAATCAATCTTGAAAAATTATTTCCAATCCGGTCATGTCAAATGCCTCAGTGGAGTCCCTTTAAGTAATTCATATATGACATTGACCTTTAGATGACTGACCATCAAGGTCAAATACTGAATTTAACTTACTGTCATATCGTTACATTTATTTGTTTTGTGTTCGCATATATATTTATTAGAAGAATTCCTTGAAAAATATTTACCTCATTTTGACTGTAAAAGTACATAAATTATAACAACCTTAGAATTCAGCCATCAGAGGCCAATAATGCTTAAGGTAGTAATAAGAGTATAACTTAAGTCTGAAGTTTACAATATTTATGATTTTTCTTTGGTTACAGAGAGAAACAGTTTTCCTTTTTGTATTTTATTATATTGAAAAATGTATAATTTGCTATCAAGTTGTGTGTAACTAAATGTGTAGTACATTTTACATTATTTTCTGTTCTTAGTAATTAATCTATAGAATAAGAGTATAGGTAAAAGAATCTCTGGTAAAAAATATTGAAAATCTTAAAAGCACATATAATGTGTCAGAGGTAAATAATTTTGTAATTCTTTAGAAAGGTCAAACATGTGTTCAATAATGTTTTAATGGTGTATTTAGAGCATTGTAAA